AATTTTCTAATATTTTTGCGAAAAAACTTCACACACCACTTTTTTTATATCGTAGTTTAGTGTTTTAATACGTAAAATTAATAAGAATTCCAGATGGATATCTATTTAGAAATTTAAAAATTTAAATTCCAGGGAAAACTTCGCATGCCAGTTTTTTATCATAATCTACAAAATTACGAAATTTTAGATATTCGAAAGATTTCAGATTTTAAGAATTAAATTCCAGAAAAAATTATATGTATCACTTTTTCTCAGAATAAAAAATCAAAAAATCTGGCAACAAAATTTACAATTTTGTAATAATTTAATAATCGAATATTTAAATGAGACACTCTGAATAAAGATTTATTACCTTACTACTTGAATAAAAGTGAGAATCGCCACCCGGTAAGTGGTACCACGCGTGAGACCGGCCGAAGATATTCCTGAAGCGACCATATATCTTTGGAATTGCGTAACGTGCGCCTAGCGCACCGTGTGGAAAGAGAGAAAAAGGCGGAACGAGAGAAACGACAGTTAATAAGAGAGACTGCGTGAGACAGAGAGGGAGAAAGTGGGAATCGGTAATGTGGAGAGGAGAAAGAAAATGAGATACCCGATGTCTCTCCTTCATTGCAGCATAGAGATCGTCTGTAGAAAGTGCATCGGGAAAGCGAAAGAGGTGCATAAATGTGACCATAAATTATGACTCGCGCCTGTGTACGCTTATGGAATCTGTTTCGGATATCCCTTTGGCTTAGTGAAGACTAGCTATGTCCTTTAACGAATGTTCTGTTTCTTATTAGAGAAAGATTATAAAGATAAAATCTTATGCTAAGGATAAAATATCCTTTCATTTCTAATTGAATTTAATTTTTTATCTCACTCGTTAAAAAATAACAATTTTATTATTAGAAAATTGTTAAAATTGAATGATATTAAATATTTTTAATATAATATAAATATAAAAGTTAATTGAGTTTTAAGATTTGAAAATATCGATGGTATAATGTTGAAAGGTATACCGTGGAGAGACCGAAGTTTGAAGTAGAATACGAGATCCAAGAGAGGATTTGTTCCCGCGAGGAACCAATTCAGGGATTGAGAAAGTTGAGAAGCTGATGGATGAAACACGAGAATGATAGGAATCGTGTTGTTGGAATCTTGTTTTGAATTCGGTTGCTTTGACGTACTGTACTAGCCAAGAGTTTAAAACTATTTTCCTAGTTATTTATATCAAATTCAATGTCAATAATATAATTAAATAAAAGATGACTTTAAATTTTAAATTAATCTTTTCATTTTATAAATCTTAACTGTCGTTTCTTTTAACTTAATTCATTTTGAACATCCATAACCTAAAACATAGCAATTTAATGTAGATAATATTTATTATAGATCCAATACAATATAATGAAAGGTTAACTTAAATTAAATTTTACTGAAAATATTAAATGTTTCTTATACAAAACCATTATTGTTTCTTTTAAACGTTGTTTTGTTTCCTTTTAATTCATTGTGTCGAAAGTTTAAAAATAGTAATTCAACGTAGACGATAGAATTTATCATAAACTACTACAACATAACAAAAGATTAATTTAAATTGATTAATTTCAATCTTATTATTATTCGAAAATTAATTAATTCTTTTATTTTATACAAACAAAACGACTATTGTTTCTTTTAATTCGCATCGAAAATCCAACATAACCTAAAACACAGCAATTTATAAATGATAAAATTTATCATGTGTCAAATACATACTGCAATGTAAAGAAGAAGCGATGAAGGATGTCAGGTGAGGAAACAGCCGGCGCCATGAAACCGCATCGTCGAATCGGGTTGGAATAATCAAATTAGCAGGCGAGTAGCAACAGACTACAGGGTTGAGCTGACAATAGCGGAAACTCGTTCGAGTTGCATCGCAGTGTTTGAGAGTTCTCGCAGGATGGTAGAGGACGCGACGGTTGTACGGAGAAGTTTGGAACGCGGCCTCGACCCGAGTCGGAGAGCCACTTCACGGCATTTAGCAGCCCTTGTTTACAAGGAAGCGGCGCGCATCGCATATATTTACTCGGGTCACAGCATTCGTATTCCAGCCGACTGTGTGTTCGTCCGTTCGTACTCCGTCATGCAGAAGTGCAGTGTGCGAGTGTGCCTCTAGTGCCGATACGTGCTGGTATTTCCAACAGGCAACCGATTCCAGGGCCTCTCGGTTTATTGTCGAGTTGTGTTCGTTGAAAATTGTCACTCTTTAACAAATGACTTCGTTTATGATTTTGAGAGATTTTTTTTTCTGTCTTGTGGGAAAGTTTTGATTGATTGAAAAGAAAATATGAATAATATTGTTTCGTTTGTTGGAAGTATTAATCGAAAATATTTAGGTTAGATTAAGATTTGAAGACATTGCTAAGTCGAAAAGTTTATTTTCATCCTCCTATTTTTATATATGTTATTCAATTAATTTTTTTAAATATTGTCTAGAATCATAATTTCATCTATTATTATATATGTATTATTATATAAATTGAGCAATTCTCATTAGTTTGTTTTGCCATTTTTTTTATCAATAGATTTTTAAATTTAGTTAGATCATTATTATTTAACATTTTTATTATTAATTTATATTCTAAGATTAGAATTTACAAATAATGAATTTGTAATGGAACAAACTTGAATATAGGAGATCTTATTAGATAAATTTATCAGAAACCGTACCTGAAAATAAAAACGGTTACAGTTCAGAAACTAGGTTAAGCATTTGAATATTGGAATTCATTGTCGAAGTAAATTCCAATGAAAGCGTAATACTTTGAATATCTAATTAAGTAATACACAAAGAATTTAAATTATGTGCAAAGGTAGATAACCTGAAAGTTTCGTAATTAAATTATATAAAAAAGAAAAAGATAAATAAATAGTTCCGAAAATTGAATAATTTAGAATTTTAAATAGATTGATATATTTTGAAATCATGATATATTCTTTTATTTCGAAATTATCATTTTTAAAAATAAATAACAAATATTGATGATTTAATAAATTTTTATATACATATATTTTTGCGCAATCGAAATGATGTTAACAATGAAATTTTACAAATCATTAAATTAAATATAATGCTAACAATAATTAATAAATTCTCTGCATCTACATCAATTGAAAAATTTACACAATAATTTATTACAATAAAACCAATTAAAAATTAGAATTAATCAAAGTTTCTAAAAATTAGAGACATAAACAAAATACTAGTAATAGTAAAGATAGATAGAGATTGATAAAAACGAATCAATTAAGAATTTTCATCTCTATAATCGTACTTTGCAACTTTATTTAACTGTTCAAGCAAAAGTGGCGACAAATCGAAAACGCAATTGGCGTTAATTAAATCTCAATTAAAAATATTAACCATACAACGACGATTATTCTTCGAGATATTATTCACGAGCGAAAATTGAAATTAATTAGGCAGTGTTCCTCGAGAGATCGCCTCTTCTCTCGATAAATCCGCGAACTTAACGATACGCTCGTTGATTTCGCGTATTCACCCATCCCACGACCCAATTCTTTTCCACCGTTATCCGAATATAAATCAGGTCGTATGTGTGTCAAGAGATCGATAACGTACACGATATATGTATGTATAATGCGCGATGATTAATCTGGCGAGAACAACGACCGATAAACATGAAATGCGAAATCACGTGGATGAACGAATAATAATAACAATGAGGACAGAAATGTATCGTGATAATTTAAAATCTTTATTCGATGAATTGTCAAATATTCTATATCGGGAATAAAAATATCGAATATTCATTACTTTTTTTTTCATTATTTGAAATTGGATATCTTCTGACATATTATGATGGAAACTTTTTTGATTTATTTTTGTCTTTGTATTTTAACATAGTTAGATGTATATATTTTATCATCATCTTGTTTATTAAAGATATTAATTAAAACAATATTAAATTTTGGATTAAAATTAATGTCTAATGTATAATTAAAATAAATATCATTTTTGATATTTGGCGAATAAAAATGTATATTGTAAATAAAATTTGGTAAATATATCCAGTGATTTATATTTTAATTTTTTAATTTGTGTATGATTATAATTCAATTGTAGTTCTTATTAAAATTTATTATTTGCGCAATTATTCATTATATAATTATAATTAATTAATTGATAACTATTATCAATTGATTGTATTATTGAAAATATATTAATAAGTACCCAAAGCGAGATATTTTTCTTAACTTTAATTAGAGATTTTCATAATACCAAAATTGGTCTTATAGCGATCTTAAATCTTAAATTGTAGTAATTTTAAAATCATTATGACTTTAAGTTATCTTGAGTATAAGATTGGCACATTTAATCTCAAGATTAATTTAATTAATTATTAAAGATTTTTGAGACTCAAATTAACTCATCAAAGTCAAAGGATATCTTGAGGCAAAAAAAAAAAAAACGCTGAAGATAATTTTATAGTCATAAGAATATTCAGATTATACGATCACTAAAAGGCTGAAGAGAAAATTCTGAGAACAAAGAAGCTCTGAGACAAATAAAGCCCAAATCAACTTTAATGCTGGAGTTTAATTAATTAACCTAAGCATAATTCTGGGCCTACAGGGACACTGACACTATTTGATCTCTAATCTGAGGATTAAGACTGATATCTCTGGGACCAAGAGAACCTTGAGCCTAGGAAACTCTGGAGATAAATGATCCAAATGACTGTGTCAACCGTGATCAAGAAAATATAAGTTTTTATTCTGATGTAATGATTACCATAACATCAAATAAAATGAAGAATTTTTATTTTATAATCGAGTAATCTAATCACTAATTATAATTAATTTACAATAATTATGTTATTGTAAAAGATTAATTAAATTTTCTTAATATATTGATTCAAAATACTTAAAAATCTAAAAATATTTTTTTAATGTAAAAATGGATTTTCAATATTTTTTTATATCTAGAAAATTTATATGAACATTATGGCTATTATTGTCAGATAGTTTTGTCTGTTTATTACTCTCAATAATTTAACAACACGTAACTTGTCGTAAACTTGAACTTTATGAAACATAGGTAACAGAAGTTATTCATTATTTGTTCATATCTGATTCAAATTCATAAATTCTATAGTACATCTGATTTTATCAGCTGATAGCTATCTATTATTTCACAAATTTTATAGGTCCTTATCTGTTACGAGTCTTCTATAAATATATGATACAATGTTTGACGACATGAATAAAGAAAATTTTAGTCTTATAAAGATTTTCAAATTATAGAGATACATAAGTTCGATATTTGGGTAGTATTATTGTATTTTAGACAGTAGAAATGCACTATTTCTGCTACGCGTAATTACATGTACCGTTAAACGTACAAGTATAAGGTGTCGCAGTTGTATTGATCGTAATTACCTGTACCGTTAAATATAAACATGCGACTGAATGATATCTATCATTGGTTCGTTTCCTTTCACGTTGTAATTCGAAAGACATGACTAATTTAACGCACCTATTACAACAATATTTCTTGTGTCTTTATCGAGTATCATTTAGTTCCACGTTTCTTCAATTATGACATTATATCGAGTAATTGGACAGCTTGAAATCGAAATTTGAAATCGAATCTTTACCTATGAACGATAATTTTTCACATTAAAGTTAATGATTTTCATTCACTTTCTAATTCCTCTTCTAATATGTACTTTCTTCTCTACTACTATTCTCATGCACATATATTCGTATTCGTATTTGTAAATTCATAATTGTGTTTCAGTCATCTTAATACATTTAAGTTTGAATTTGATAGATTACATATCATCAATCAAATATTCTGAATTGAAGGAAAAATTACGGCATAAATTACATATGTCAAATACTACATACACTATTTGATAAAATTTATAGCAAAGATATCAGAATGACCAGAGATTAATCATAAAATTTTATAGCGAAAAATCCTCCATCCTCCATCCCTAAAATAAAACAAAATCTTATCAACATTATCAAAAATCAAAATAACAAAATAAAATAAAACTTACCCCTTTCATAATCCTAAATTTTCACCTTTCTTAAAAGATAACATAGAAGACACTTTCCAAAGAAAGTTAAATCCCGGAAGTCATCGGCATCATCGTTCCTCTTCATCCTGTAATGACCTCTGCATTATTTAAAAAAAGAAAAGGTGCACAACTTTCCTGTTCGACGAGGTAAAGGATGGTCGTGATCATTTATCGAGCAAAACGCTCGACAAAATCATCGCTCGCCTCGATTCAGAGCAACTTTCGACCATCTTATCCGCTCACGAATCCGCAATGGGCTCCCATTATTTAATCAACGAAACGTCTCGTTAGCGATCTGGGTCACACACGAGCACGTTTCCCGTGTCTTTCACGGGTCGAACGTAAATCTGGAACCGGTGCACCGGCGAGTCTCTCCTCCTTGGACTCGCCAAACTCTCTCTCCTTTCATCCTTGCCACGTTTCCGGAACGTTTGGCGTCGTAGCGAGCACGCATCGTTGCCCCTTGACAATGGCCAAACTCTGATGGCTCTTGTGTACACGTTGATTCGAGCGAACGATAACGTTTCGCGCCAAGAACGTGTTTTCCAGTCACGATCGCATATTTGTTCTTATCGAGGGAAAGAAGGAAGTGCATATTTAAAAATTATTCAGAAATTTTATACGATGTACATTATAAATACCTATAGGTGTTAATTCTTTTGCAACTGCAAAATTGGATGACATTTGGAAATATTTAAATTATTTCTGATCCTTTTTTTTTTTAGACAAATTTTTTTTAGACAAAATTAACATAGTTTAGTTAAGTTAGTTAATTTAACGAAGAAAGATTTTTTATGATTTTTAAATTCAATATAAATAAGAGGATCTATATACATTTTAAATAAATCGTTATTTAAATAATTGACAGCTGCAATTCCTTTGAATTGTGATCACCTATAGATAATGTTATAGATAAAATATTTAAATTTTTTTTTAGTTAAAAAGAAAATCTCATATGAATTGTCATGAAAGAAGATTATATCAGTATACCTTTGCACAATTTTCAATTTCCATGCCTTGTAAAGTATTTTAATAAAATTATCTGTAAAAAAAAAAAAGAAATTATCAATTATTTATCAACTTACATTAATATTCATTTATTTAATAATAATCAATACAAATTGAATAAGATAGATTGGTAATCCTTTCACAAATACAAATATATTCCGAGCCATACAAATACATATGCATGTATATCTAGCCAATCGATCGAGATTTCTCATTCCTCGGTTCACGTCGCAATCATCGAAACATCCAAGTTGGTTAAATTTCATCCACGTGGCATCCAATCGTGTTAATTAACAGTACCGTGGAATCACACGACTATATCCACCTAAATTACATTGCCACAAGTCAACTTTCTATAAAGTGAACCTCTCGTTCGAAAAACTCGCTATAGAAGTGCAACGGCTTTCAAATAATTCGAATAAAAAGCGAGAAAAGTTTGAGAAATTCATATTCGGCATCTACGGCCAATTGATGTAACATTTAATGAAATTACTCGACGAAATTAATTCGCGACGTACAGGCCGATGAATGAAAGTCTTAGATGGCGCCACTTGTATCAGAGGCCATTAATTACCTCGATTCTTAATTAATTAGCGTCCTTACGCGTCCGTATCTCGAGCATATATTTTGAATACACGGCGACACTCCGTTGACCATTTTCCATTTTATCATTCTCGAGGTGGAACGAGAGTTGATGTTGGCTCACGAGAGAACGTTTATTAATATTCCGTATAAAAGGGATACATTTTCGAAATGAAATTTTACGGATGCGAATAAGCGGGTCGTTTTCCTCTTTCCATGATTCTTCGTATTTATTAAAGCTCTTTCCAAACGAAATTCTTGGTTTCCATAAAGCAAGGAATCAACTGGAAATAAAAGAGAAAAAATGTCGATTTATATCGAAGAGGATAAGTTCAGAGATTGGAACAGATACAAAAAGACAAAGAATGTGTTAATTTATTTGTCAAATTATGACATTATTTATGTTATTATTTTTTTCCATAAATTCAATTTTACCGAATGTCCTGCATATGCAAAAAGTATTCTTTACGTTGTCTATTACATCTTTAAGCTGCGTGGCAATAATTTTTGTACGATTAATTTTAATTCCACGTTTCGTATTATCTATTGAAACCAAAGACTGCGAATACGTGACGGCCATACTATGGTCATCGGTGCTACGTGATCTAGTAAATACAATTTCAACAGGAAGCTGGAACGTTTGCATACAAACATGAAAAACGAAATACCTTGTCAGATATTTTTAACAGACATTACTATAAACTGCAGTCACTCACATTTTCTTACAGATTTACTAGCTTTTACGCAAAAGTTCATTTAACTCTTCCAAAGATAAATTCTTTTACAATTATTTTTATACCTTTACAATTTATATATAATTTTTCATTTCTACAATACATTGAATCTTCATTAAAAAAAAAAAAAAAGAAAAGATAATTCACAATTTCCATTAAACTTTCTTCTAAAAAAATAAAAAAAAAAATAGGAAAGAAGAAGAATAAAAAGAAGAAATAACAGAGACGGAACGCTGTTCGTCCCACTTTCTAGAAAACGCGTTCTGTACAAACTTACAAACCAGTAATTCGCAAAGGAAGAAAAAAAAAAAGAAGAAGAAGAAGAAAGAGTTTTCAATGTGACTTTTTTCCTCCCCTCCACTCCCGACCAAAGTTAATAGGCAAAACGATTCCGTGCACCGAAGCCTGCTCGCGAAATTCCCCGATAAATACACAGGAAACGAGCCCGCATAACGATAGAAATCGATAACATCCGACGCGATAATATCGCCGTGGCAGCGTTTATTCAAACGCTCCCGTGTTTTCGCTGCACGGCTGATTTCGAAACAAAGCCGAAACGGGGCCCCGGATAATGTCGTAGACGCGTGCATCATCCGCTTTGATGGATTATGGAATATACTTTACGGTCGGCCCGTTTCATTTTCACTCGCGCGAAAATTTGCTTTCGGTTTTTCGCACAAAAAATATTTACACGAAGTAGGCGTACACTCGTCGAATGTAATACAATTTTTGGAATCCGTTTGGAAATGTGGGCCGATCAAAATGGAAAAATTGATTTGTCGAAAGAGGGATGGAATGTTTGATTGATAGAGATAATTTATCTCTCGAATTATTATTACGTTTGGTATGATATTTTGAAAACTTTTAACAAAAATAAATATAAATATTAACAAATATAAATATAAATAAATATTTTTGCAAAAGCGATTTTCATATGTTTTCCCACACGTGAAAAAATGTTTTTGAAAATTTATATTTGTAATAAGTCGATATTTAGAAAAGGAATAATTTGTTTTTTTCTTTTAATTCAATATTCTATATTCGATACATAAGTAGGTTGAAATAACTCGCTTATCTGGACAATGATTTCTTGAATTTTTTTTCCTTTTCTTTTTCTTCGTGCAATATTTCAATAAGCTATATGTTCAGTATGTTTGAAATTTTAAAATGAATAGCAAAAAAAAATATATATACACACACCCATTCTATATAGAATAATTGAAAGAATAGAAAAATTTCGCTATGCAGAATAAGGAAACGAGTGAATATTAAAATAACAAATAGTTGGCACTACTTAAACACGTGCGCATACCAGTTGGAAAAGCTGTTTTTCCTGGAATCACATCTCCTCAAAACGTGTGGAACATCTTAATTACATTTAAACATCATATATTTTACAACATTCCTCAAGATTCCACCATTTCATCTTGAACTTCACTATTTTCACCTATTACACGCTGATTTTTTCTTACCTCCTTATTAAGTATAATAAGCGTGGAATCTCCAATATCACGTACTTCCGTTAGAAACTCATTCAACTACCATTTCACCGGCAAAAAAAATAACTCGACGTTTGAGCACTCGATAATAACTTGTCGAGCTGTAGAAACGTGGACAATCATAAATATGAAGATAAATAAGGCACGGTTAATTAACGGTATAACAGATTTCGCGGACGTAATTTATCGATATCATTGACGCTTAATTAATAGCCGAGAAGGACAACGATTTTTTCGAAGGAGAAAAGTCGTTAAGACACTTGAAAATAGTCGAGCAACCGGTGTTATAATAATAATAATAATAATAATAATTTCGATTTGACACCGATCGAAAATAATGATGATCGAAGTCTCGTTTCAACTGAAACTTTGCCATTAAAATGGAGTTCAACAATTCGGTCCGGAATTTTTCATCATTCGATCATTTCCATTATCCAATGCACAATTTCGCTTTGAATATCATAGCGTGAAACATGGAAACGCTTTTATTGAATATCGATAACAACAATATTAGTCACAGTTCTATAAGAAACTGTTTTGACGTTGTTTATCCATTATGTGCCGCCCTGTCGTTTCCGGTTTAAATCGAATCGTTGGACCGTATAATTGTCCCAAACAGTTTTGTATCAATAACATTTATTTATATTCTTGATAATAAATCTTTCTCCTTGAGAAAGCTCGTGAAATTTCAATGAAGGATGAAACTCTGAATGAGATCTATCGACGAATCATTAAAGATACGATGATGATCGAGCAGCATCAATGAACAAATTTAAGAATTAATTGCGTGCAAATTGATGTAATACAATTTATAATGAAACGACGAGGGGTTGTCTTCCTCTCTTCTTGTCGCTTCACTTATTTTAAACACGAAATATCATGGAACGATTTCAAATTATATACCGTCAGTTTAACAACAGACATTTAAAAATAATATTCCTGCATACATGAATGCATACATCATACGAAAGTTTGTTTTGGACAAACTTCGGCCACGTATCGTTTCAAAATATATTCTTTTCCAGAATATTATTATTATTATAACGTGCGAAACGTTGAGGGATTTGGTGTATATCCTACATTTGAGCATTGTCACGAGTAACCCTCTGTGGGATGGAACTGTGATCAGTTTGATGGGAGAAGCGTGTTCACCATCACCCCGTCCACCCCGGCTGTAATTAAACGCGGTGCCGACAAATTGCATTCGTTGTGCGACACGGGGTTTCGTATCCGATGTCCCCGTTTTGTTATTCGACAACGTGCCTTATCTTATATGCGCATCTGTCGGATCTGTTCGCGATTTTTGAAATAAATATCGAGAGCGATGCATAGAGTAGACGAAGAATTAGAGGGAATAGAGGAATGGGATAAGTAAGAAGAAGGATAGAAGGAATAAAATTTATTGCATATTGGAAAGATCTTTCAGTCATCAGATTATTTAAGATGATAATAATACGATTCGTTTATCATTGAATTACAAATGTAACACGATTCAAATATTCTACACACATATAAGACTCAGAATCTTTACAATTTGTTTGATAAAAATTAAGGGAAAAAATAAATAGGATGGATTTGGCCGATCAATTAATTTTCTAATGGGACTTATTTTTTTTTAAACGTATCCTAAATAAATAAAACTCGAGAGCATTAAAAAATTGGATTCAGAGGGGAAAAATGATAGAGGAGGGGGAGGGGAAAAAAGTGGCACAAAGGTAGAGGAAGGGGATGAAGCGAATGATGAGACAAACAAGAGGGCAGGAAAGTGGCCGTATAAACGGAAGTGCGCGTTAAAAAAGGTATAAAGGGGTGAAAAGTCGGGGCGAATCAGTGGGACAGAATGAAAGTAAAACACGGAGTACAAATAAGAATGGAAACGATCGTGAA